CTGAAACAATGTACATTTTACTTACAGTTATATATTTTAAGTTTTGATAGGCTAAAATAACCGGAAGTGATAGTTTGTTTATTGCTAAACCAAAAGCAAGACCAGTTAGTTGTACAGATCATTTAGAAAGGAAAATAGATTGCTGCAAGCTAAAGTTAAGAATACCAGTACTAAACACACTACAAAGTGCTTTTAAAAGAAAAATGTCAAATCAATGTTAAAATACTGCTTTAGCTATAATAAGGAGTAATAAACTAGCACCATTAGTGCCATTCACACTGTAAGAAGATTACATTAAATGTCATGTGCTACTGTGAAATCTCTGACTAAACAGTGTATAGAAGCTACTATTTTCACGACTGGAAAGATTCCTACCTGTTTCATCTCCTGTTACAGCCATGATCAGCTTCTGCACACGAGTCTCTTGTTTCTCTATCAGAGCTCAACATGAAATGTTCCCAACTAGCAAGCATGTGCAAGATTACAGGCAGAAGTACTGACATCACAATGACCTCACTTGCTTACCACAGTCATTAATATGCTTTGTCACTGGAATGGCTCACTGGAACTGCAGTCCAAACAAAATTCCTTCTGCTGATATACCATTTTCCATACTTCTGAAGCCTACCATTGTTTTCTTCCTAATTAATATATTTTCTTAGCTTACAAAACACACTCACCACATCTCTATCTGGAAAAATAAAATGAGATGGGACCTTGATATTTGTAAAAATGTAAATAATATTTCTTGTCTTCTAATTTCTGAATTGCTTCTGTCTGCTCTAAATCTGCATATAACAGTTAAAATGTGGCAACCCTCAAATTTATAGGACATAAGGACATCTTTGTTCCCCTGCAGAAGCTTTCACTGAGAGACCCTACCCATACTAAAACTCTCTCTGGATTAAAAAGCATACAATCTCTTGCAGAACATATTGGTGATACATGATTATTACAAGGGAACTAGTACCAGGATCCATCAATTTCATCTTTCTATCTTATACAGGACAACATCAATCAGAGGGGAGAAAAACACAATGCATGGACAGAACTCAAGCAGGTGACACAGGGCTGAAGGGCTCTGCACCACCTTAGTTCTCCTTAGCAGACCCCCAAAATGCACCTTTGAGAATGGTGCTGCCTTCCAGAAAAAAAAGTTCTAACTGTCCTATAATTTCATCTCTCTGGACATGGACGTACATGTACACAGTATGGTACTGTAAAAAAGGACAGACAACTGAGGCACCAGCCCCAGGTACCAACCCTGGAGGGGAAACAAAAAGAACAGCAGGTGTTCTGATACACAGCACTGCACTGTGCAGTGCAAATGTTCCTACAGGCAAAGTCATCCAAACCCTGCCTAAATGTCTCAAATACATGCTATAATAGTGACACCCACTCTTTTAAAGACAGAGCTTGTAGTAACCAAAACACGAAGAACACTTATACAACCGTTGAACAAATATAGGCATACTATAAGCTTACCCACTTTCCCATCCAGACATTCCCATTACTCCATCTGGGGCCCTTACACTACCTTTTATTATTTGTCCATATACTATTTTTCAACCCCATGAGTCAGAACTTAAAACCAAAACCTTCAGTATCACAGAACAGACTTATTTTAGGTTCAGCGCAGTAACTAGTTTTATGACAATGTTTCTCTATACAGGCGAGCTTATATGGAGAGACACAATACAAATACTTGTGCAACCTGTTAGCAAAGAATGAGACATTAGCGTAATGCTGGATTCCTGATTTCTATTTTTTTGGCCCTGGAATAATATTGCGGTCTAGTTTTACAGACAGAACTGCTACAAGTAATAGCACCATCTTGATTATCTTCAGACTAAGTCTAGTAACACTAAACACAAGCCCATGAGCTTCCATCATGAGCTATATAGAACCACAGCTCAACCATGAAGGCAGCCAGACTTAATGAGCCATTTAAAAGAAAAATACAATTTCGCAGAAATTCTACTTTTCAGATGGCGCTCATTATAAACCTGTGTATTTGATTTAACCGCAAGGGAAAAGTAGAGATACCCTAGTTCTACAGTATGGATTACAAAAGGAACTCATTTAGTATATCCATTATAAATAGGGTGACCTTAAGTCCCAGATTTTGGAGGCGTTCTCAGCATCCTGGCCACTGAAGAAAACTGAAGCAAAAGTCCCAGATTGGCAGAAACCCACCTACACATGCGGCTTCTGAGTCACATGCCAGACACATGTGGACAGGTTCAGGGCAAAGGGGGACTTCTTTAATTTTCTCCAGGGAGCCCAGCCAATGGGCTGCTCCCTGGTCGGGACTCTACTGCAGAGTTACTTGTGCTGTAAAGTTGTTGGGGGAGGAGCCACAGGGTATATGCGTGTGTGTGCAAGTGTGTGCGTGTGTCTATCCTGCCCAGCCCTGCTCCTGGGAGCCATGGGAGGGAGGGGGAAAAGGATGTGCCTTGCTGTCCTGCTTAGCTCTGTTCCTGGTCAGGGGTCTGTGCAACCATGCGTGTGTATCCTGCCCAGCCCCACCCCCTCTCCCAGATTTCCCTCAAATTATTATGGTCACCCTAACTATAAACATCATTGGCAAAGTTCATGAGATTGGTCTTCCTTATATTAGAGAACTAAGCTGCCGCAACAACCAATCCAAGGCTGAAGTGGGGCAGGAGCATGCCTGAATCAGAGCAAAGGTAAGCAGCAAGGGGTGAGGGGGTGCAAGCAGGTGGGGAGTGGGAGAAAGGGGGACCAGGGAGACGCAGGGTAGTGCAAGAGAGCAGGCACAGTGGGGGTAAGGGGCAGGGTTCAAGCTACTTGACTCCCCTCTTCTGCCTGTCCCCCCCACTGCCTCCCCTACCACCTGCCTTCCCACTGCTTTCTCAGCTGCAGTGCAGGGGATGAATTTAAGGTGACTCTCCAATAATTAGATTCTAGACATGGAAAATTATAACAAATTTATCAATTTTCTATGTCCAGAATCTTAACTATTGGGGGGTTGTCTTGGATTTGGATAAATGTGGTAGTGTTGTGTTTTCTTTCTTATTCCGTTTCTTATTTCAATGTCGCTTGTAAAAAAAACAAGATCATATGCAAGCCAGCCATATCCAGTAGTGAGGGCCTTATAAATGGAACAGCCATAAAGCAAAATGGTTTTCTTCCTACATTACAATAAACTCTGCTATCACAATATTAGGTGCACAGTCAACTATTAAGTGAACACAGACCACAAAGGTGATTGAACCAGTCCTACACAAAGGATTTCTTGCATGTCCTTTCCAGTACTCCTGGCACACATTCAAGGATTTGTTAAGAATTACATATCCAGTAAATTCCACCACCTCTCCCTATTCTGACTGACGTAAATGTGTTGAGTCCATGTAACAGACTATCAGAAAAAGCTATGCTAGATCTTAACTTTTTTTTTTATAAAGGAAAATACATGTACTCTAGGCATTTTCACAAAATAAGAAAACAGTTTGGAATTTTTTTATACTGAATAAAATATAAACATAACAACACCTGAAATCCGGTATATTTCAACAGTTTAAATACCATAACTTTCAATTCATGCCAGTTCATTCCAATTCAAGCCCTGCCAGAGAACACAGCTTAGGCAAAGCCCCCATGCCAGGAGAGAGGGAGCACCTGTGAACAATTAGCTAACTGCTTATATAACAATGAGGCTGCCCAGTTTTCTTCTTTAGCCTGAAGCTATGGGTACTAGTTTGCTCTTGCCCTCCCCTCCTCCTGCTTCCCTTCTGCCTGCCTGGCAGCCTTCGAATTCCTGTTGGGGTACCACACAGCTTCCCCTCCCCACTTCCCTCCTAGACTGTACCCTGCCCCATGCTGAACAATAACCAGTATGCTAACCAGTTATAGATTCATAGGTTCATAGATGTTAGGGTCAGAAGGGACCACAGTAGGTCATCAAGTCTGACCCCGTGCCCTGGGCAGGAAAGAACGCTGGGGTCAGATGACCCCAGCACAGTGCTTGTCCAGTCTCCTCTTGAAGACACCCAAGGTAGGGGAGAGCACCACCTCCCTTGGAAGCCCATTCCAGATTCTGACACCTCTTACTGTGACAAAGTTCTTTCTAATGTCCAAGATAAATCTGCTCTCCGTCATTTTGTGGCATTGTTTCTAGTTACTTCAGGGGGTGCCCTAGTAAATAGAGCATCTGCTATTTCCTGCTGCCCTCCCCTGATGAATTTATAGGCAGCCACAAGATCACCTCTCAGCCTTCTCTTGCGAAGGCTGAAGAGATCTAGGTCCCTCAGTCTCTCCTCATAGGGCCTTGCCTGCAGGCCTGACCCTACAAGTGGTCTTCCTCTGGACCCTCTCAAGATTCTCCACATCCCTCTTGAAGTGTGACACCCATCATTGGGCTTACTGATTAATAGTTTCATCTTCCATATCCGTACCTTGCAGTGGTCTCCAACTTCTTTCCTATCCAGCTCCTACCAGAGACCTAGGAGTGTAGGAAACTACTATACAAGACATTCCTGTTACTCCCCATTGTCTCCCTATGTCCTTACACCAGCATGGCTCCAACCTATACCCCTGTTGTTCCCCAAGCATCTACAGCTTATAAGAATGTCACATAACCTTTATTAAAATGCTTAACTATTAGAAAAATCAGAAATTAATTTAATTTATTAAATGTGAAGCAACTTCACAGCAACATTCTACTAAACTCAAACAGCAGAAACTCTCCTATTGTTGTATCACTATTGAATACCTTTTGGGAAGGAAAACAATGGGCATAGCAGAAAGCAATTTCATCACAGTGTTCCTTCCTTAACATATTTCCTCTAATGTTCATTAATTCTTATGAAAAGAGAGCAGAGGCCTTTATTGAGCAAAGCAATCCATTCATCTCCTAACACTAAATTCTCAAATTAACAATTCTTTGCTGATTTAATACTACCAAAAACCAGAACACAAGCAAAAAAAGCACATAATTAAAAATTCAAATAACTTAAAAATTTAAAACAAAACGATACCTTGGACAACAACTTGGCTCCCAGGTACAAAAAACTGCTGTGTGCCATCAGGTGTCTGTGCTGCATATTGTACAATTGTAGCACCAGGCTGAGGAGCTCCTGAATTCGTCATTGTTAGTGTCTGTAATCCCTGGACACCATCAGATGCTGGATTAGAAATCTGGATTGCTCCACCTTGGGCAATAGCAACTAAATATTGAAAGAGAAAAAGAGAAACATTAAGAATAGAAATATGTACATGCAAGATACTATATATGCAACTTTAACACATATATAAATATGCACGATTATATATGCAACTTTTGAAAGGTTCCCCACCCCCTCAGGCAGAGATTTCTAGTCATATCCATATTTAAACAAATTTGCAGGGAAAATACTATGTTTGTGTTGAAATTGACCTAGATTGATATATTTTGGCCTCCCATATGTAGCCATCTCAGTTTGCTTCACATCAGTTTTGTGTCAGTCAGGGAAAGCACTTCTTGGTGTCTTTTTTACGTTATATTCCTGAGGCTCTTAAAACACTCTTCTTTTTATGCAAAGAGAGAATGATAGATGATAAAAACAGAGCAGTATCTTTCGAACCTTCAGAAATATGGGGAAGGCAGTTGCTGCCAATACCAACAAACTCGAGAAAAAATAAATTGAAATTTATCCAGCCCTTCCAAATGATGGAAAATACTTGGGTTTCAGGAAAAGGAAAGGCTAAGGGTCTGGCTCCTTTTCTCATGTTAGGACATGCAGGCTTAGTCTCAAAGGATTTAAAAGTCTTATATATGAGAATATTTGGGTATCAAAATTTGATAATCAGAATCTGGTCTTATGCAGTCAAAAATAAGTAAGAAAACATATGTAAAAATCTTGCCCACATTTAAATACTTCCATGCAATGTGAAGAACTGCATAACAAAGTATTCTGACAACATTTAGTTCATTAGGAGTATGCTAATTTAAACAGATGTTCACAAGTAGTCACTTAAGAACAGGAATATATTCATTTATACTCGCTTACTATGAAAGAATAGCTACTCCCCAGGAGCAGCAAATACATATTTTTCTATCCAGATATTTAAAGTGCACTCATCACCATAGTATCTAAATGGTGCAAGATGGTATACGTATTTGCTTAAGCACACATTCAGCATTGCCATCTCTTGTGGTCTTATAGCAAAGCTCCCACATTTGCTGGTTTTCCTAAAGCCTCAGCTTCTTGGAGTCATTGGACTACATGAAAATATCAGATTTCATTATTTCTAAAAAGGAAGTTTTTACTTTTCAGTTGTACAGAAAAGCTGGAAAACATGAAATCTAAAGCAAACAAACAAACAAACAAAAACACCCAGAAGAGGGGGAGGGTTGATAGTTATTATTCTTTTAAATGTCATATTTTAAATAAATTGCACCCATTGTGGGTGCCTCGTGATTTGGCTGCTTGAGGTTGGCAATATTGTTTTATTTTAAAAAATAATGGCTTGCACAGCTAAAGGAAGATCTCTTTTGCTCATAGTGCTAGGAGCATGTAGGGCTTTTAACATAGCGGACAGCCAGGTACTACTAATACACTTATATCCCTCAGTAGAAGGTGGCCCAGCACTACAACCATTCTGCTCCATCAGCACTCAGTGAGTACCAACAGATACCAGCTCCTCCTCTCTAAAGGCTCCTACCTGCATGACTTTATAGGGATCGTGCTAGATCCATCCCTTTAAAAAAAATGAGATCATATGTCAGCGATAATGGGATGCTGTAGAACCTTTTTGCCAACAGCATGCCAAGATGATACTCAATGGTACAATCACCACTTCCTACTAATATTTCAGAATGCATAAGAAATTAACTCTTGGATGAAAAGCAGCTGGCCAAAGCTAAAACTAAACAAGCTATGATGGTCAAAATGGGAAAATGCTTCAAAGAGCTAGCTAAGAAGTTGTTTCCATCTTCCAAGGAAAGCATACAGCCACCCTCTGGGTCCTATTTGGCTCCTTGTGAAATTTGGATGACTGGGTAGTACCCTTTAGTCATGCTTTTTTTTTTTTTTTTTTTTTTTTTTTTTTTTTTTTTTTTTGCCTCCAGCTTGCTAAGAAACTTCATCTTTCTCCCTGACAAAGACCTAGATACAGTAATTCATGCATCTGTCACCTCTTGGCTGGAACTCATAGTTTCTGACAACGATGCACAAAGTCCAACTCTGTGCCTCAAGCCACTCTAAGTAAAAGACCTGAGCTCCAGTTCTGCTGGTTCTAATTCCAGGTTAAAGCACTGGTTCCAATTTTAGAATTAAGGGATCATGCTGAAGTTTTAACCCATGAATCACCAAGGAAGCTGTACTCCTTTGGACAATATGCATCTCATAATCCCAGAACAAAGCACATGAGAACTGAATTTTCCTTTTGAGGGAATGTACCTATGGAACAAATGTCCCTACAGAATCATTTGAATGGGGAAACTAACCATCCGTAAGAAACACTGTACGCCTTTCCTCTTTCAGGAAGCTTTTTCACCATAAGTGATATAAATAATTGAAGTTACATGTGTTCCATTCCTCAACTCCAGTTTTGGGCTGCACACTTCAAAAAGGATGTGGACAGACTGGAAAGAGTGCAGAGCAGAGCAACAAAAGTGACTTGCAGCCTAGAAAGTATGATTTATGAGGGAAGCAGCTGAAACAGCTAGGGTCATATAATCTGGTGAAAAGAAGACTGGGGGTGGGGGAAGAATTTTATAACAGCCTTCAAATATCTGAAGGGAATTAAAGAGAGGATGGAGACAGGCTTTTCTCTGTAGCCACAGGGATCAGGACTATGCACAATGAACTAAAAATTGCAGCAAAGGAAACTCCGGTTGGGGATTAAGAGGAACCTTCTAATTATAAGGGTGTCAAGCATTGGAAAAGGTTACCTAGAACTGGAGAATCTCCATCCCTAGAAGTTTTCAAGAGCAGTTTGGACAAACACTTGATTGGGATGGTTTGGTCTGGGATGAACCTGCCTTGAGCAGGGGGCTGGACTAGATGACTATGTGAGGCCCCTTCCAAACCCCACTTTCCTAAGATCCTATCAACTCCCACCAGAAGTAAGCACAGCTCTGACCCTAGAAGACACCTCATGAAGTCTACCAACAGCTTCACTATTACTAGAGATTTTATATAGAAGGCTCTCAAATACTATGATGATGGGTAACAACACAGAAGCTAAATAGTGGATTCCTATATTAAATCGCCCTAAAGCTGACACAGAGCTTGACCGTGGCATCCCCACACTGTAAGTTTTTTTTGCATGTCCTAACACCTCCTGAGGATACGAGAAACCTGATATTAAGTACTCTTCATCCACAACTGAGGATCTGTGCCTCAAAATACAAGGCCCAAAAGCAAGAAGTCAGGCAATGCATGGTAAACCCTAAATTTCTCTTTGCCATTAATTAGTAGCAAAGTACTGAGCAAATACTGTGAGAAAAGAAAAAAATGCTACACTGTCTGAAAAATGCTACAGTACAGATACGCCAAAGTATAACAAAAGGAAACTGATGTGCAATTCCGTTTTTTTAAATCTTATTAACAGGAATTTGTGCTCATTTTCAAAATTTAAACATTCTGATTTTTAAACATATTGATTTATTTAATTATAATAAAACAGCAATATTTTAAAGAACTTGCATAGAATTTGCCACAAGAGCAATTCTTGGGACATAAAAGGGGAAAGATGACCATCCTAAAGAATATTTTCTCCAGAGGATCACCGTAAGTAAAAAAAAACCAAAAACAACCAAACAACACACAGCAAACCTATGTAAGAATGCCCACAACTGCCACCAATAACCTCAGGCCCAAGAGGTGGAAATATCAACCAATGTAAGCACACATATTTTTCAGGCTTGACAAAAAAGCACCTCTAATTTTGAGCAGCTTCGCCAAGAAAAAGACAAGGACCCAACTAGTGAAAAACAGGCCCCCAGCTGGATCTGACCCTGAGTTAAGACATCTAAATTACTACTTTCTGATAAACATGTAGGTTTGAAGAATCACTGCATTGTTTCTGCACAAACCCAGAGGAATTCTCCTTGCATGACAGAGATCATATTCACTGAAACCATAACAAAACTGATCCAATGCAAGATCAAAAAGATTTAAGAGAAAACGTTATATTTTGGATGACAGAGAACAGCAAGATTTCTGACTAGGAAAACACAGAACAGCTGAGCCGAAGGAATTTTCACGGTGAAGAAACATTTATTCTTTGTTATGTTCAGTAAGAACAATCAATGTTGATTCTTAGTGTCAAAAGCAATTTAGGGTCCAGTTCTGCTCCCATTCACATCAACTGCCAAATTCACATGAACTACAATGAAGCAAAACTGGATCATAATTAACTTCAGCATTGTTTTAATTATATGTACAGAAGATTTCTTCACAGCACATTATTTTAATTTCCAAATGCAGATAGTATCTTCTGACATTTATTTTCTTTTATTCAGCAATTCTTGCCTCATGCTTTACTTCTGGGCTTCCAAAGACATTCAGGTTCTCCCGAGACAGCTATATTTTGGAATGCATTTTTCACATTTCTTTAAAATAAATTCACTGAGAGTTGTCTTATGAAATTGTACTTTGGTCAAGATGATTCTACATTTAAAGCTGAGCACAACTAATAAAATATCTTTTAAAGCTGACTGCTACAAGCTTGTGAGCACTTCCCAACAGTAAGAAGACCAGTACAAATTAACTCTACACCTTGCATGAGTGAGAGTGTCATAGAACTGAAGCTCTTACTTCTTAGATTCAAAGAATTAAAAGATACTATGGAGAATTCATTTGTTCATCATTATAGCAGTGTAACAATGAACCTGAAGAACAGGAGGTAATTCAGTGCTAAATGTACATTTTGTTTTCCTAGTGTTGAAAATTATTTTGTTTTACCAATTTTAAAAGGCAGCTAAAGGAATGCTGAGAATGTTTAACGTATTAATATGTTTAGAAAAATATTCTGTCAATTTTTTAATTTCTATTGTTAATATTTTGATAAGCTTCCTTTTTTCACAGAAGTCATTGGAAGCAGCAGAACTGCATACCACTTTCCTGCCATTATAGCAAAGGAAAAGAACTGCTCTATTTAAAAGAGCTCTTCATTATTTCTGAATATGAGAAGACCTGAAATATAACCAACTCACTTTAATCTTCAAGTTTTGTTTAAATTCTGTGAAAAACTATAAAAAAAAGAAGAAAAGTTTTATGGAAACAACCCATGACAAGAAATGACTAAACAAACATCAAGCCAGCAGAATGAGACATGAAATGTTATAGGTAAATTTAAAATAACACTTTAGAAAATATTGGGGTGAAGCTGAGTTTTCTAACAGTGTTTAGAGAAAAGCTCAGTAAGTGGAGACCACAATATATAGGGTTAACTCCATATAGAAAAGTGTTGTTTCAATATTTAGGTTATAAAATAAGGCATAACTCAAATAACAGACAAGACAGAAACTGAACTCCAGCCCTGTGCTTGTGTCTTAAAATACAGTCTTTCTCTCTCTCTCTCTCATTACAAATTATCTGCAGATTGTAATTGTTAAAAAATGTGATATGCAGTAACGTACAGTCGGCTTGAGTTGAATACTGACAGAGTTAGAGACTTAAATACAATGAAAACACTAGTTTACGTTATACAACTTTATGTTGTACTGATATTTTGCACCAAATTAGAAAAATTATATTAAATTGTCGTGACAGAAGTGAATCATAGTCAAGTACAATTTTGCATTGCACTACATTCATGTTTTAATCCTATTTTCCAAACAACATAGACATAAAATACAACATCAAAAACAGATACAGAATGAAAAACAAAAGTTCCCTTCATGTACAAATACAAATATTTGTGTACATAAAAGACAAGAGACACCAACATTGTCACTTTCATCCAACACCTTGCTTTTCAACTCTTTAATGGACTATACAGTTCCAAAATTACCCCAAATTTGAGGCATTAACAATGCTATAGGATGAGACAAAAACGACAAAGATGTTTTCTTTTTCCTAATGTAACCAGGGAAGATGTAAGCTGCAATTCACTTACACAAATATAAAGATACTTATCTTGCTTTTACATATTCAAACATCTCTATTTGACTACGTTGTTTTTCAACTAGGCAAAAGACAGCAATTCACTTCTCTTTTTTTAATTACAATGCTATACAACATTTTAGCATACATACTGTATTGCCCTGTGCTAGTCTGATATAGACTGGTTGGCACTCCCATTGCAGGGATTCCAGATGGAGCTCCTTCTTCCTCTGACTTCTCCTCTTCAATCTTAGGGACACCAGGAACATCAGAAGAGAGTTCATTCAGAATTTTTCTAAAACATAATTTAAAAAATTTGAAGTATATTTTTAAATCCACACTCATAAGAAAAAAATATTGAGTGACCAACTTTTACCAATGTTATGACTAGTACATGGCAGTTTAAAACAGGCATGAACTTACCGATATGAAGGCCTTCTTGATAGTATTTCTCTGCGTTTTTGAGAATCAATAACACCTTCAGATTCTGCAGACTCATCTGCATTTGCAGCTGGTGCTACCTACAATACCAAAATTTCTGTATTATATGAAATGATGATTTTCAGAAACTGATAACAGGGTGGCTGGTTTGTGAGCAATTTCCATGTTTACAATGAGGTGAAGCCTTGAAAAACTGGTGTACTCATTTCTGCAGACTACAGGCCAACTGCCAAATTTGAATTTTGGCACTTCTGTCATATATCAAAATCAGCAGGTAGTTAATGGAGCATTATGAATCAATTTTAATGTACAAGGAAAGCTAAATTAAATATGAAATGCAAATATATGAATGCATCTTTCACAATAACACAGTATCACTGATATAAAAAGGTCTAAAGTTATAATGGTAGCTTCATCACAGCCACAGTACAGAGGAAAAAAAGAACATGTTTAACAACATAAATGACAATCTAAAGATATGCATATGCACAATAGGACCAGCAAATAAAGCTGTGAAAACTTTACAAACTTCTAACTTTTGGGAGTTTATATGGGAGTTTATAATTTAACTTTTTCTCAGAGCTCCATTAGCATTGTTTTTTCATTTTATTTTCTCTTTATGAATTAAAAAGTGACAACCTGCAGCTAAAACAGTCTCTACCTTCAGATAGGATATTTAAGGTCAATTTCAATTTTGCGTAAGAAACTTTCCCAATTAATTTGACTGCTCAAATCCAGCAGCATAAATGGGGCACAGGACCAGCAGAAAGAACTGAGATAGTTGGCAGACCCTAAGCACTGAGTGCCAGAAAGCAGCACTTGTGACTTCAGTGAGGAATGCTTTCAGAAAGACTTTGCAGAATACGTGGACTTGAGACATCTCATCCACAGATTATGAAAAGAAAGAGACTACACCTTCAAAGAGCTAGAAGTCAAAGGAGAACTAAGAAACCTGAACTTTTTTCCCCTTACTGATTTTACTGTACTCTATTTCCATGCACAATCACTTTATGCAGGTGACACCTGACGGACATGACATCAGACGTCTTAGTAAAACGCAGCGCCTACACTGATCAGAAACATAAGAGATGTTTCCAAGTACATGCACATAAATAATTTTAAGCTACACTGAGTTTTCCCATCCCAGCCAGGTTCTGCATTCTCAAGCAGTTTGGCTCATTCATCTCCAGCACCAGAAAAAAGGAATTAACACTGTCTTACAGTATAATCTTAGAATTGCCCCAGCAAAAGGTATAGGAAAGTCAAAGCAGACTTGGAACATATTTGAAGTTTGACGGACAGAGCAGAAGCATAATGTTTTCCAGCAACAAACCGGTGTCTTGAAGACACACTTACGCCACAAATTGCTGGAGGTTTAGCCTCAAACACAGGAAGTTCATTGAGTAAATGACCAAAGTCAATGGAAGTCATTTCTTGGCTATTTGTACATGCCACTAGATGGTTACATCAAGGAAAGGGATTTACAATTAACTTTCTGTAACTCCTGAACCAACAGCTTTTCATCATATCAAATGGAAAATCAGAGTCACTGATATACGACCTAGAGCCTGACAACCTTGGCTCACGGCAGGGCTCTTACTCCAGGTCTGGAAGCCCTGCTGGCCCATACAAATGGGAGCCTGGCAGTCTTGAACACCCTGGGACCCCAGCTGGACATAAGAATTCTAGGCCTTCCTAATCCCTGAGGTATTGCTGTGGGCTACTCCTAAGGAGTGAGGGCTACCCTCTGCTCCAGGAGTTAGGGGCAGCTGGAGACATTTCATTTGGAAAAGGTCAAACCAAAATGTGGTTAAGTTTTCCTGAAGAAAAATTCCAGAGTCTCCATTTTGCATGCTATAGCCATCTCTATTCTTTCTCTACTCTGGGCCACATCTTCAAACTGTTTAACTCCAGTGCACTGTTCCAACTTTTCTATGCAAGTCAAAGCTCAATATCAGGGTGGAAGACTCATCAACCACTCTTTCTTAGACCCTATCCATTTCTGTGCATTTGCTGTTGTTGCCTGACCAATTGCAGAGATGGAGTGAGGGAAAAAAATCTTCAAAACAATCATCTGAATTGCAGAGTGTTCTTAACTGCTTTCCATTACAAAGATCTATGACTTCTGACAAGTGCTTTTTCCAGCCAGAATGAGATGATATTCCAAAATACTCAGTCTGACAGGCTCTCTGTTCAGACCCACTGAAAGTAGGAGAAAATACTGTGTGATGGCCCAGACTATCATGTTGCCAACATGAAGATGGAATTAAGTTCCTTTTCACAAAAATCAGTTTATACCATTTCCTTAGTCTTCCACACTGTAGCAGGGTGTAGATCCTGGCTCAACGCCAACTGTATAAGGAGATAATGCCAAATGGTAAGGAAGAGTGCTTCAGCAATGTGTTTAAGTGTCTTCATTTCTCCTGTAATGGGGCCTGCCAGCCCATTAGATAGCTGTGCTATCCCAAAGGACAGAATTGCCCTGCCTTCTTTAAATAGCAGAACAGGAACCAAGGGAAACAACTGGAAATGGCTGATTGATCATAAATGTTTCCCTGTGTCTACTCTGATTTTGGGAGAAGGAAAAGCAGCTGCAGTTGATCCAATATCCATTCCAACACAGTAATTAGCTGCTATTTCACTAATAAAGGAGGAGGCTGGCAAAAGACTCAGAAAAATTCTTCCACTTTTGGGGGACTTCAAGCCATAGGGCAAGTATTCTATTTTACAATGCCTGTTCTGGACCATACCAAGTTGAAGAAAAATAGTAAAAGAAACTAGGAAAGGCTCTCAAATGTGTGTTTGCTTTATACGATAGGGCTCAGTCTGCTGGAAACTACTGCTGAAAAACACTTCCACAAAGCAGTAGTTTCTTTGGAAATTTAGACTTATTTGGCTCTCACAAGGTTGGTCCAGTCCAAACCTTTTGTTTCCTTTAGCCACCTGTAAAAATGTAATCCTTGAAACCTGCCAGGTCCCACAGATGAGACTGCACATCTCTCACAGATGCATCTTTGTCATGCTCATACAACTCTTTATCTACCTGAGGTTAGACCTAAAAGCCACTCAGAAGTTCTACACGTGAAGGACTGCTCGCCTTTCAAGCAAGCTGGTGAGACAAATGGTCCTTGTCCTCTTTACACTGCAATATTTGCCAATAAATTTCAGGGTGAAATGTGGGGTCTTTCTCCAGTCCTAAGTAAGAGAAGGTAGAACCCAGTTATCCAAAGGTACCACCTCCTTTTGACAGAAGCACTTCAGCCACCTGACTCATAAGTCTGGAGAAAAGAGCAGGCAAGATATACTCTACTAAAAGGAAAAATATCTAAATCTTAAGAGTGGCTACTTGAGAGTAGTTACAAGATATATTTCTCAAGTCTTTTCATTGTAAAAAGCTGTGAACACTCTTGACATTTAGGCTACTGGTCCTGGCTTCCCAACCTTAGCAAGGTCAAACTCATACAGGCTTGCCAAATAAATGCTGATTGTTTCATACCTTTTTTTTTAACACCTATACTGTGCATAGATGCAGTTGTGGACTCTACTTATACACAACAAATAGTATTAACAGATGCTCCTCTTATAATACGTTTGGCATCCAGATACTTTAATTGGTGTAAGAGTTTTTTTATGCTAGGCTCTCTACAAATTCATTAGGGCATTTGGAAACTTTTCAACTCATGAGACAAGATATGAAAGTAGTGAAACAGCAAAGAGAGAAAATCAGTGGGATAAACCACTAAAGTGGGATCACATGATTTACATAAATTAGATGTTGTGCAAGTTGATGGTTCCAAGACTCTGGTTGGTATTTTCTTTTTACCTTTATGAAACAACCTTTACAGGCCACTCTGCCTGCTGTTATGAGTTGGCAACCAGTCAAAGCCTCAAAGTAAAGGACGAATCTTCTATTCATTGAAGGGAAAGCTGAAAATCCAAGGTGGAAATCAAAGAAGAAAAAGTGCCACATATCATACCCACATACATACAAAAATCCATAAATAAAACAAGCAAAAACCCTGCTAACCTGAACAGCCTGCATTTGTGGCGACTGAATAACTGATGGCTGTGTGGCTTGAATCACTCCCTGGACGTGTACAGTTTGTCCAGAAGCCAATTGCACTAGAGTTACAGCTGGAGAGCCTCTTCCAGCACTTGATCCAGCTACAGAAACCTGTAAGAGTTATGATTATCATGTTTAATTAACAAGTCCTGAAGATTTCAGAGGTCACTTCAAAAGGCAGCCTTAAGACACATTAAATGTTAACTTTCAATCCAAAATCCAAGGCAAAAATAACTCCACACATTAGGCTCTTGCTAGCACAACACAATTATTTCTACTGTGCTGATTACGTCTTTTAAACTGTCTGGTCCTCAGTAAGGACCAGAACCGCCACCTCCCTGGTGGGCCCCCTTCGGGCCCCGAGGGAGGCTCACCTGGGCCTAGGGTGAGTGAGGATTTAGTTAGGGAGCTTCTGGAGGGGCTGGACGTTTTTAAGTCAGCCGGCCCAGATGATCTTCACCCTAGAGTCCTAGAGGAACTGGCTGGGGTCATTGCAAGTCCCCTGGCACGGCTTTATGAACACTCGTGGTGCTCTGGAGAGGTGCCGGAGGACTGGAAGAGGGCCAACGTGGTTCCCATCTTCAAAAAGGGGAGAAAAGAGGACCCGGGGAACTACAGGCCAGTCAGTCTTACCTCGATCCTGGGCAAGCTGTTCGAGAAAATTATTCTGGCACACATCCAGGAGGGGCCAGCAGGGAACTGCATGCTCAGGGGCAACCAGCACGGGTTCATCAGCGGCAGGTCCTGTCAGACCAACCTGGTG